AAACCCATGTAAACTAGTCTAGTGTATTCATTCTGGGATGTGTGTGATCATCCACAAGGTGATGCAAGGACATGCGTAGCTTCTGGATGGGCAACCCATTAGTGAAAAACCTTGGAGGACATGAGTAGCTTGGAACATTGTGGTTCCTCATGAAAAACCTCACAATCTATGCTCAGGCCAGGGGTAGATTGGGCACTAAATGTTATGGGATATTCATTTAGTGGAAAATCCATCTGAAATAGGTTGGGACTGGATGTAGGAGGATTACACCACCTCTGAACTAGGATATATCTCGTGTACCTATTTACATTCAGCACCCAACACATTCTTCAATTCTCATTCACTTTCATGCTATCCCAAAGGCTTGCATATTCACTGACCAGAAAACTCCCTAAAGTTTTTTGTGAACCAAAAACTCCTTACCTACGCACTACAAAGAGATCTATGACAATAGGTCTAAATCCTTCACACAAAAAGTGTTCTGTCCACCCATCTCTGTTACAACTAAAAGAGTCATAACCTTTGTTCCTATAAAGGGTCACACTCTTGAGGTCAAGACTTTCGCCGTATGTTTCAATGTCTCCCAAAAGATATTGGAACACATTCTGTTAGAGGGAAAATGGTTGAAAAGAAAAGATTTTTAGAAGCGTATTCACCCCCCTCTAGGCTTCTACCTCACTTGGGACCATCACAGTTAACAAAACCCACTAGTATCAATCTGCTAATTCAACCGACTATAAGTTAAAACAGCCAACCACTAATTGTCAATCACTCATGCATGTAGACATTTTTAGTCATCCACTTTTCATGACAAAATAACAATAGAGCGACTCAAATTGCTTATTTCACAATACTTATGAGACTAAATGTAACAAATTCCAAAGTCAAGAATTAAAAGTATCTCATTCACAAAAAAAATGATGAATCTATTTCTGGAGCTTTATTTTTTAGCAGTTTGTCGTCTGAGCTTTTTCACCGATTTTCTTTTACCAATTTGATAAACCATTTTTTTTACCAATTCAGTTATTTGGCCTGTTGTGTATCAATTATTTAATTTACAATTACTTTGTATAATAGTAATATTATTCTCAAAGAGCAATCAACTTTATGATCATTGATCATTTCATTTTAACATCATAAACCAAGGTAACACAGTCAAATAAGAGTCTGTCCGGTAACACTGAAATCGGCTGAATCGACTGATTCTGTTTAAACTTAAGAAGTTCTGACTGAAGTTGCTGTATTGGTTGATTCTGCTGATTTATGAAAAATTATACCTAAAATATATTTTACTAATAAAATAAAGAAAAAGTTACATGAAAAACAGCTTAAATGAATCTACAGTAACTTCAATCAAACACAGTAACTGTAATCTTACCAATCTTACTTTTTCTTATTTTTATACTCCCTTCGTCCCTTAAAACTTTGTCAAATTTGATCGGCACATGGATTAATAAAGTGAAAACTATGCGGTTGATTTTAAGAGACTGAGGGAGTACAATTTAAAGGGCGAAATAAAAAGTTATGTTTTCTTGAATATATAGAGTTTTTTTCCGGATTAATGTTAATTAAAAAAATATTTACAAAATTATGATCGGTTTAAAACTATTTACCAAAATATTGTTGGGTCGACCAAAGTCGCCAAATGTAGTGGGGACTTTGAAATTGCCAACTGGTTGGGCGACTCTCTCCTGCTAACTATGCAGCACACACCAATAGCATGAATAGAAAACAAACAAGTATGGGGCCCATGATACAAAAATCCTTTTTTTTCTTTAAAGGTCCATACCTTTTTCTTTTTTGCTCCACTTTTATAAAAAATATACCAATATTGGTCAACACAAATCACTCTTAATCTCTTACTTTATTTATACAAAGTGTTGACCAATATTGGTATATTTTTTATAAAAAGTGGAGCAAAAAAGAAAAAGTTATAGACCTTTAAAGAAAAAAGGGATTTTTGTATCATGTGCCCCATACTTGTTTGCTTTCTATTCATGCTATTGTTGCGTGCTGCATAGTTAGCAGGAGAGAGTCACCCAACCAGTTGACGACTTCAAAGTCGCCACTTCATTTGGGTACTTTGGCCTACCAAGGTTAGATGCAGCAGTATTTTATTAAATAGTTTTAACCGACCATAAATGAAGGGGATGTATTGTAAGTGGATTGTGGTGTATATTTTTTAATCCGTGGATTTCTAAAAAAGTCCACAGACTTTTAAATCCATTGACTTTTAATGCGCGGACTTTTAAAATGAATGACTTTTAAAATGAATGACTTCTATGGATTTCAACAAATCCATAGACTTTGACTTTGACTTATTTCAAATCCGATGAAACCAGATTTTAATAGACCAGACGAGGCTTCTAGAATTATAAAATGCACAAAGATCAAACATTCATCCTACTAGATCATTCATATTATAGTATATTAAGGCAAATAAAAAATACGTATTATGACAAATATAATAGCCAATGTTCTCTAAAAAATACGATGATGGAGTATATGGCCTAGGGACCCCCGACCCACAAACTCCTAATTCTCCAACACGGGCCCATCAAACCCGATGACCACACAAAGCCCAAAAAAGGCGGCCCAAGCATAAAGAAGCCCACAATGCACATGTGGATGCCTTCGGCCATATGGTCGAGGGCTCCAAATTATAGAAGACAACTTGATATGGACCTGCAAAGTTTCTGGGAAATTCTGACCGGAATTGTTAGGCTTTTGCTATTCTATGCCCTCGATTGTATATAGCCTTCGGCTATATGATCACCGGGTAGGCCTTCGGCAACAACACTCTCGGCGAAGATTCCTTTTAGAGACAGCCAACCACCGCATTCAATGCGGCGTCACGTCCAACCACCGCATTTAATGCGGTGCACATGCAAATGCCGGTGCCACCCCCGATTAAGGTGACCCTCAGCCATCAGATGTTTGACACGTGTCTCCACCTAGCATTTATGGCTGCTATAAATCGCAGCCCTTACTCCTCTTGTAAGGGATCCCGAGATCAGAATTGATTAATATATCTGACTCTCTCTCTTACTTATTGCTCTGACTTCTCTCTAAGTTATTTGCCGTAATAACCCTTCGGATAAGCCACACCCAGGTACACTATCCATCATATGACAAATAAAATATTCAAGTATAAGCATTAAACAACATAAAAAATGTCATCATTGCTCAAAATTGAACAAATGTCTTGTGCTATTGAACTATGGATCAAACCTATCCATTTTCTGCAACCGCCCACATTTGAGTAGCAAGATTCATTCTCCATTCGTTGGCTTTTGCTCTCCGTTGATCTTGTGTCTGAAAATCATCTCATTTAAAGTTATCCTCATTGTCGCTAGGTGGGTCTTCTGGGTCTGGAGGAAACTCATCAGATCAGCATTCACGCCGGAGAAAATTATGTACTCATGCATATGCCAAAACTAGTTCTGCTTGTGTTTTCCATTTGTTTCCTTATAACGCCATTAATATCACATCATTCAAGTTTGGCACCTTCAACCATAACTTCAAGCAAAGTGTTGCTTTCTTCTATAGTCCAAGTCTTATAATCCTTCCATTTGGAATTACCTTGTGAATCTCCCATCTATATGATTGTGTCAAACAATAAAAGACCACTGCAAACTGATAAATTTAATAAATGTAAAAAGAGGTAAAAACAGTATGCTTGTTTCAAAGTATTACATAATGTGGGGAATAGGCCATAGTCATGTCTACGTAAGAAGCCCAACAATATGTAAATATATTCATTTTTTAACCAAAAGATGGTTGCATCTATGAAATAAATAGGCACCAAACGTTCAACCAAACAAATGTGACCAAGAGAAGAACCGATCAAATCTGCATAATTAATTTCAGGGGTGAGCAAAGATATCAGTCAAGAAATATCAAACCTAGTAAGCAAACCTAATGATTAGTGTTGTGAGAAAGTTTAAAAATCAATTTGAAATAGCAAAGTAAAAATACTCTGTATAACGTAAGGGATAGGAGATCCAATTCTATCCCCTCTGCTTTCAAGCCAAGGAAGGGATAAGTCCGAATCAACGAACTCAAGTTGCGAGCAACTTTACTCATTTTATTAGGTCAAGTTGTAAGTGACTATTTGAATCACTAGTTTTTTGTATGATGGGGGTACTCATAATCGGAAAAGAAATCAACACTATAGGAAATTTAATTTGAATCCCACGAAATCACTATAGGAAATTCAATTCGAATCCCATGAAATCAAAACTATAGGAAATTCAATTTGAATCAGCACTATAATAAGCCCAGGAATTCTCAAAGGTTGCTGACTCTGATAGTGGGCATAGATTAGAAAAGCCAATTCATATAGGTAATTTTTTTCGGCAGAGTAGCGGAAAATATACAAGAGAAAGAATGGAAACCTGGAAGAAATTGGCTTCTTTGGTTGAGAGAAGAAAAAAAGGCCGCTACCAAGTCTGCGGAAATTTTGAAGGAGATTATAAGAAAAAAAGGAGAAAGAGTATTTATATTAAGGCTTTGAAAATCCACTGATATGAATCATTATCTAATTCCATGGGTTCCATAATTTTTTTCAATACATCTAAACTTTTATTCATTTTTAAAAGCTTGTACTGAATACGCTTGAACTTTGACAGATTTGTACTCACTCTTTAAAATCCTAATCCAATACGCTCAAATTTTTATTGAATTTTAAAAATCAATATTCAATACATCCCCATGGTAAATTCAATAGACTTTGGAATTCCAGACTTCTAAAATTCTACCAATAATTCTAGGTACAATACACCCCCTTGGTAAATATTTTTTTAATTAACCTTAATCTGGAAGTCTATCATCCCTGCTGTAGTCCTCCCTGGCGTCTCCCATTACCCCTTCTCCTCTTTGACATCTCAGAAGGCTAACAGAAGAGCTCCCTGGTATAGTGGTATCTGGCTATCTGCACGGCTTCAATCACATTAACTATCACCTACAGCCGATCGATGTCAGATTCGTCCGCATAACCACTCAAACCTTGATTGTGTTGTTTACTGGTCTAAACCAGAGAAGGTAAAAGTAATTATATGTACTAATTTTTCATCAATAACCTCTTGTCCACCTTTTCCTCCGTGTCTAATTTAGGTGTATAATGATAATCGAAGTGGATTCTGACTTATTGAAGGATTTCACTCCCCGTGTATATTCTGAACAAATATAACATGTTTATATTTTTTGTCAAAAAAGTTAAAATTATTCATACACACACTGTTAAGACTTCTTTAGAGATATTCAAGTATTTTGTGCTTTTGTATTTCTTGGTAAGACTACTTCGCTCTGCCGTCATTGTTCTTGCAAGACTCAAACTTTGTGTTATTATCCTTGCTGGACCTTCTTTTTATCATGGTATTTTGTTCCTTGAATTATTTCAGACACACACATGCATTATAAACACACGGGTGTATATATCTATGTATATGTACATAGATACATATTCATGTGCTATTTGTAGGCACGTTATTTGTGAATTTTTATTAATTTATATGTATAAATACATTCCATAAACTGAAGCCAGATATTGAATTGAATATTAGCGAAATGAGTAATCTAATACAGTAGTTGCTTTTTTGAAATTTTACATCAACAATCTTCAAGCCTTTAAGAACAAATTCAAAGGTATTTTCTTCTTGGCGAAGGACGTAAACTTAGGCATACATACAATTTGTAAATTTTATAGTTTTTTTTAATTCCAATGGTTCTTCAGTGGTGCTCATTTGGAAAAACTTTGCTACTATTTGTAGGGAAGTTTATGGTGTTTTTGTGCCTTAGCATTATAGTGATGTGATGTCATAGCTTAGCGCATGGCTCAAGAAGTTGCTGTGTGATACTCCGTTTCACATAGGATGGGCCCTTTTTTACATTTTGATTCATATGTTTTGTGGTTTTGATTTTCTACATAAGGTGTATTTATTCCCACTGAGTTCTGTAGGGTATATTTTTGATTCAATAGATTTGTTATTGGCAAATTGATTGTGCTGATGAGTTGCACAGTTCTCGGAAAATAGGTTAGTTATTGCCTCAGGCCGCAGTAAACACTGGCTGGTGCCACCTTAGAACTGGGTAAACCCCTTCATGGCTGTAACCGTCAAAGAAATATGAGGATGTATACCAACCTAAGATGAACCACCAACCATAATTAATAATTCAATAGGCTCAAACCAATAAGCCTATCCTTGTAGAATTAGAATATAGGACCTTGCGATCATCATATTCACTACCCTTTTTTATGGTTTTACTGTGAACAACTAATTTACCAAATATCTCTCTGTAAGTAGCTACATTTTACTCAGTTATGAAACAGTTCACACAATAAAATCACTAAAATGAAAAGGGGAATAATCTTTTTAGCTGGACAACAAACCAGGGACTGGTACATCCATACACGGATACACCATATGTTAAGTTATCACTAAAAAAAGGCGTAGCTGTGCAGCAATTCAACTGAGCTAAGCATAGCAAACATATCAACCAGTTTTTATTTTTGCCGGTTGACCATTCATCTTTTGCAGTTCAGACTACAGATTTCTCTCAAGCCTAAATTTTAATTTACATATACATTCTTCCGGCGTCGCTTTGTGTGTTTTGATGCCTTTTTTAAAAGGATATCATTTTGAAACTAAGTCCAATGTGACATTGTTTCGGTGCTGTGTTAAAAAGAGCTCTGACTCAGCAACTCGTGGTTGTTCTTCAGAGCTTCTTCTGGTTGTTCTCCGGTCCTCCCTACTGGCCATCGCCAATTTACCACCCTCACCAGTCACGGTATCACCAGTCCACCACCACATCTCCAGTTTCTACGTTACATTTACCATTTTCCAACCACCACACTCACATTGTCAGTGTCACACAACACCATATACCTTGTGCAGGCTTATCCGTTGAAATTTTCCTCCTCGTGACTCGTAAGTTTTCCTTCCATTTCCCAAGTTCCATATTGTATTTCGGGGTCTCTTTTACTTTTTAAGTTTCGTTTTTTTCTTCAATTTGTGTCATGCTCCATTTCATATTGAAGATCTGATTTGATTATTGTTAAAATTCAAATTGGAAATTTGGACTTAAAAATTTGAGCTGCTTTGGTTATGACATTGGAGAGGGCGAACTGGAGTTAGAGCATAAATGTGGAAGATTGATCTAATTTTGTTTGTCTCACTCTTTATTTATCTAATGTTTTTAACTCCGACATCATATGTCGATTCATGTTGGCTGATCTCAAACTCCTTTGGGAATAAGGCTTGTATAATGTTGTTGTTGATCTTTGTTTAGACTATATGAACACTGGAATAATAAATTTGATTATCAGAATTGGAATTTCTATTACTAGAATTGGAAGTGTTATTGTTATAATTGCAAAGTGATTCGTAATGGAAAGTTTGATTATTAGAAATGTGTAACTAATACATAATTGTTGGCCATAGCTCATTCAGAGGGCATTTGAGGTGGTCATTGCATATGGGTATACTGGAAAAGCTGGGCATGAAAGATTTGGAGCAAGAATCATACCCAAAATTAGAGGATTTTGCAGCACTTCCATTTTTCGCTCTCTTCTTCCCAACTATCAGATTCTTGCTTGATAGATTCGTGTTTGAGGTACCAATTGCTTTTTTTCAGAACTTATGTATTGAAAAAGTTGTAGTTTAGAGCACATAGGTATTTAGTTTCTCAACAGACACGACTTTTTCTTGATATTACTTAACAATTTACACATGCTTACTGGCCATTGTTTATTTTTTCATGTTAGTCCCTTCTGCAGTTTTGAACTGGATGTGTATGTTTGTGTGCGTGTAGTATGTGGCAAGAAGGTTGATGTTTTCAGAGGGGCAGCGGGTGATGGAAAATGAGACAGACGAGAGGAAGAAAAGAATGAGGAAATTCAAGGAATCAGCATGGAAATGTGTGTATTTTCTTTCAGCTGAAGTATTTGCTCTTGCTGTAACTTATAATGAGCCATGGTTTATGGACACAAAATACTTTTGGGCTGGACCTGGTGATCAGTTCTGGCCCGATCAGAAATACAAGTAAGAGTTTTGTGTTTGGTTATATACTTATATATGTTTTTTTCTTTTTACTTTTCCTGAAGTGTGCCTTTATTTGTCTGTTAAAAAACCACAAGATTAGCTTTACTAGATTCATTGATGAGATTGGTGACTTTTCGTTTCCAATTTAGGCCTAAATTGAAGGCACTTTACATGTATGCTGGCGGGTTTTACATGTATTCCATATTTGCACTTGTATTTTGGGAGACGAGGCGGGCTGACTTTGGTGTTTCTATGAGCCACCATGTTGCTACTGCAATACTCATTGTCCTCTCCTATATATTCAGGTGTGTTTTTTCGGAGGTGAGCCTTTTGTTCGCAATCGCTCTAACCTATAGAAAAACCTTTTTGCTTTTTTAGTGAATAGTAATTTTTAATACATTTGTGAAACTAGCTCACGCTCTCTGATCACCCCACACTTTTATTCTACATTCAATGTGGTTCTGCGGCCTTTTAGATTGTCAGGCATATTTTTTACAAAGCACTAATTTATGTGTCTATGCCCTGAGCCCCTGAAGATAATCATCATTTCCCTTTTGCCTTATCATTGTTATCATGTTATCATTTTGGGTTTAAGGTTTGAATGTTGTTGTATATTTTTCACTATTTGACCAATAATATATACTTTTAATTTTTATCATACATCAGTAATTTCAACAACTTTATCAATATCAGCCACTATTAGTAACATAACCAATTTAAGCCAAACTCACCCTTACCAAATGGACTTGTATTCTATAATATCTTTCTGCAGGTTTGCACGGGTTGGTTCAGTGGTATTAGCACTTCATGATGCTAGTGACATATTTCTTGAAATAGGAAAAATGTCCAAATACAGTGGTGCTGAGACTCTTGCTAGTGTTGCATTTGTTCTGTTTGTTTTGTCATGGGTTCTACTTCGCCTTACGTACTATCCTTTTTGGATTCTGTGGAGTACAAGGTGGGTCATTGGAGTTCCATTATTTACTTTTTACTTTGTTTGTGCACATCTGCCGGTGATTTTTCTACAGTATATTCATTGAACTGCTTTTACAATTAACATGGGAGCACTATTTGATACTTTTCAAAAGGTGGTGATATTTATCGTGGAAGAGTATCATAAAACATGTGACTAACTGACAGGTGAATATAAATGCATTTCCTTTTTGCTCTTGCCCTTTGAGGTTTCTTTGATCGGATGTACAGTTTTGAAAGGGGAGACTTTGGAGGACTTAATGTAAATCTTGGTAATAGAATATTTCTAAATAATGAACAAAAGATAATTGAATGTTGTGCTTCAGTCGATCACATATTATGGTAATATTGGAATTTTTATAAAAACTCAAATATATGTCAGAATATAGTCTAAGCCCTCCACTTAAACAGATCTTTAGCTATGCTTTGAAGGTAAAGAGTTCATGCATATTAAAAAATTTAGACTTTTACATAGACCATTATTTCTTGTTGAATAGTTCCGTAACTCGTGGAACTCTGTAGGCCTGGGTTGATGAATATGATGTTCACTGTTATTTTTAATCTCTGAGGATGTCCTTTTTAATGATTATCTTGCATCGTTTACTTCCTATGACTCTTAATAATCTATACATATACATTTTCATATAACTTTTACGTAATACTTTAGTGATAAATTTTATTGACAAGTGAAGAAATCAAGATGGTTCTTAAAAAAGGGTTTATACTGGGCTAGGTTGCGCATTTCTTAGGAACTCTACTAGTTTCTCTGTATCTGCATTCTGCAGCAGACTGCTCACTGATCTTTACTCCAAACATATGTTTTAAACTTTCTTGTTTCTGATAGGAATATGGCTTAGTAGGTTAATAATAGAAATAATAATAATTGTATGGGGACTTATAGTAGTATAAATAGAAGGGGAGAGGAGGAGTAAAAAGTAGGCAAGAATTCAGTTGGGAATAGACAGGGAGACTGGGCATCTCGAATTGTCCTAGGCACTGTATACGTTCTGTACTCTTCTTCTACATCAATAAACTTCCTAATGATCTTATTTCTTGATAATTTCTTGATCGGATTATCAGTGTTCTATCATTGGTATCAGAGATTCAGAGCATTACATTTCTGGTGACCGTAACTTTGATTGGAAAAGTACGCAGATTCCAGAAATTTTTTCGTCGCAAGCTGTGAATGGTTAGGACGAAGGGAAAAATGGAGAACCAAATGGAAACGGTGGAACGCAATTATCAGAAGGTGAAATCTACGTGGGAGAACATCGCAGCGACAATGGCGACGATGAATGAACAAATTCATAGCAGAGGAAGATCGCGAACACCTCAGCAACCTCATACGCGAACTTCGAACAGTCCGATTGCTTCCAGAGGTAATTCCGTTCACTCGAATGTCCATAATCATCGATGTAGTGATGAACCAATTAGAATACCTGTGCATTCTGGTAGAAAGGTAGATTTACCTTTGTTTAACGGTGAAGGAGCCTATAACTGGATTATACAAATGGAGAGGTATTTTCGGTTAAATGACATTGAAGAGGAAGAGAAGGTTGAAGCTTCTATGGATGCTATGGAAGATAGGGCTTTGAATTGGTTTCGTTTGTGGGAGAATCGGACTGAAGAAACTAATTGGGACACTCTGAAGAAATCTATCATTCGTAGATTTCAACCTGAGTTGATTTCTTCATCCGCCAGCAGCTCACGACCAAATAAGACTCTATCGAGAGAAGCTTCCCATTCGCAGATGTCATCCCAAATCGCTTCAGCGCCTTCGCGAACAGTTTTGCCTAATTCGCGACCTCGTCTCGAGCGCAGGTCTATTCTCAGTCGCGAGCACTTCCTTCCAGTTATCTGGTTTCTTCGCGAACTTCATCTCATAGTTCACAATCGCGAACTTCTTCTCAATCGCAATCTTCTTCGCAATCGCAATCGCGAACAGTGTCTACCAGTTCGCAGGACTCAGTTCACAGAGCTCAGCGCGCGACTTATCTCAATTCGCAGGTCTCATCGCAGGTCTCATCGCATATTTCCGTTTCTCACAGTGCTCAAGTTGAGTCAGCATCGATCCTTCAGCCGTACGTTAGTCAGCGAGTCAGCGACAACTTCTCTCCAAAGATGCGTTCATCCAGGGTGATGAGGGAGGGGAGGAGAAATCTTATGTGATGACTCAAGCCTCTAGTACCGTTGAATATGAATCGGCTGATGATTCAAATACTACTGTCACAGTACAAGTAGACGAGCATCAAGCTACCTCAGATAATGCTGCTATTAATGGAATTAATAGCGAAGAAAGAGATGCAATATTCCATAGAGTCATAGAGAATGGAATATCATCAGACATTTTACATGACGCCACCATAATGCACCAGTCAGTAAAGGATATTGCCATATCTCAGAAAGAGGAACCATTAGGGAACATTGTGAGAACCATTTCTCTGGATTTTGGTGCCTGGACTACTTGTATAGAGGAAATTGAGAAAATAGATGAGGGAAACATTCTGAAAAAGTATGCAGATCACGAGACATGTATTGGTTTTGGGGATAAAGTTGTTGAGGTTCTGGAAATTCCAATCCAACAGTTAGGTCGCTACTTTGAAAATTGTAAGGTGTTGGTTGACTGGAGGCCACTATCAGAATGGAAATCTGATGAAGAGAAAGAATCTGCAGCAGTTTATGCTGGCTCGGAAACCACTATTGATGCCAGAAAGGCGGCTAAAATTGCTAGGGGAATGGCACAGGGAGGGATGAAGATTGAAAAGCCATTAAGTAGGTGTTAAGTATCTATCTGGAATTAGTGAGGATTGCGACAGAAAAGAGAAACGAAGATGAACAGATTTGTTATTCAATCAACAGAAAAGAGAGAGAAAGTGCCAGACAGTTAAAGAGATGTCAACTCTCCAGTCCCAGCCAACTACCAAATCACAGCCTGCCTTATTTCTCCTGTAGCTATCTATTTATAGAAGTCTACCCGACCCCTTATTACAACTCCCAGCTACTTATTATTCCCTTTCCTTCTGGAATACACTGTCATAATAGCTAATACTATTATTATTATTATTATCAATAGGCTGACTTCCTGTAGCTCTAACATCACTCCCCCCTGGAACTACCACCTTGTCCTCAAGGTGGAAGTCAGGAAATTGCCTCTCAAACTGTTGCAGCTCCTCCCACGAATCCTCAAACTCTGGCATATTTTTCCAGTGCACCGACACTTCAGTTTTTCCACTTGAGTTAATTCTGCTTTCCTTAACTTCTTCTGGCCAGACCTGTAGTTCCCATTCTTCTGAGAGACACTTGGGTAAAGGTTGTGTCTGTGCAGCAGTAGACACTGTTTTCTTTAATAGGGATACATGGAACACTGGATGGACTCTACAATCTTCAGGCAGCTTCAGTTTATAGGCCACAGGGTTGATTTTCTCAATGATTTCAAAAGGCCCATAAAATCTAGGGCTCAACTTCTGATTACTTCTTCTGACTAAAGTCTTTAACTTGTAGGGCTGAATCTTTGATAGACACACAACTCAGCAGCCCACTCAGTATTTTAATAAAGTATATAAACGGAGGAGCCGGAAGATAGTTAGTTAATTAGCTAAGTAACTAGTAAAGGTTACTTTATCCCTGCGTGGATAATTTTACTATAAATAGAATAATAGAAGTGATTGTCAGTAGGCTGTTATTTGATTGTGAACTTGGCTTTTGGAGATTGGACATCTCGAATAGTCCCTGAACATTGTATCCCCGTGAGCTGTTCAGTTGGAGAATAAACCTTCCTATCCGATCTTCTACCTTGTCATTGCATTCTTACTTTTCTACTTGAAACTGTCTGTGATCTATCTGTGATCTAACACTGGTATCAGAGAACTCGTTCCTGGTGATCGGAAGTGTTCCGCGATCTTCAGCAAATATTACGTACGGTGGTGGATGGTACGGACGAGAGCCAAAATGGAGTTTCGCGTAGAAACTGTGGAGCGGAACATCGCTGAGATACAAGGAACACTGTTGGAGGTACATGAAGGAGTACGATCAGTGGTTGCTGATCAACGTGTTGCATTGGATGATTTGGCGGCAAACATGGCGGCATCCATAGCCGCGTTGACTGATCAGCTGCGATCCAGAGAGAGATCGCGATCGCAAGTCCGAGTTCACACGCGACGATCTTACAGCCCTGCGAATTCAGGAGGTAATCCAGACCACTCTTACATTCAAAATCACAGAAGGACCGAGGATATTCATAGATTTCCAGTATACACAGGCAGAAAAATTGATTTACCGGTTTTTAATGGGGAAGGTGCGTATAACTGGATTGTGAGGATGGAGAGATACTTTCGATTGAATCATATTAATGAAGAAGAACAGGTGGAAGCTGCATTAGTTGCGATGGAAGGTAGGGCTGTGAACTGGTTCATTTGGTGGGAACATCAAACGGAAAGAAAAAATTGGGAAGATTTGATTCAGAACCCTTATGGACCCATGCTTAGTTTGAAGCAAACTGGAACTGTTAAGGAGTTTAGAGATGAGTTTGAGATGATGATAGCTCCTCAAATCAATGTGGATATGGAGATCCTAAAAGGAATTTTCCTTAATGGGTTGAAGGAGGAAATAAAAGCTGAACTTAAACTACATAATTCCACAGCCTTGGGTGAAATTATGGACAGAGCCCTACTAATTGAGAGTAGGAATGAAGCTATATATCACAAGAGAAAGGAGGAAGACCGGGTACTTGGGAAAGAGAAGGGGCCTGCAGCAGTGAGATCACAAGTCTGGACTGAGGGGTACAAGTCCAAATTCAGCAATACTGGACCTCATAGTACTGAGAAGAATGGGGCAGAGAGTAAGGCTAACCAGCCATGGTTCAATTCAAGGGGGACCAGAGTTACAGAGATTCATCCCTCAGGTATCAGAAGAGTGGGTCCTCAGTTGTCACAGGATGAGTATCAGGAAAGGAGCAGAAAAGGCCTGTGTTTCAAGTGTGGAGAGAAG